CCTATCTATACTCTCTCCACCAATCACACATCTGTGGTTAGGGAGGGGAGAGGAAGGAGGAATGATTCAGATCTTGACTTTTGAAAAGCTTCAAGTCATCTGATACTTTTGAGCTCCTCCTTCACTGATTACAGGCTTGCACTTTATTATTTGCTTTTAGTGTGATAATTCCCCATGACCATTCCCTGGCTAGGTTTCCAAATGGATACTCCCAGCTTGCTCATTCTTTGACTCCTTAAACTGTGCGTTTCTTCCCCATTCAGTTTCTTCTGAAATTTAGCTATGCATTCATTGCAATCTATTTTTAGATTACTAAAATCCCAAGTGTTTCCTTCTAATTCCTCCTTCACCCTTTTGTCCACATCATTCAATTTATCTTCAAACAATTTGCCCTTTTCCTCATTTATTAATCTTTTCTTCCAGTTACAACCATCACCATTCCCCACCATTATTTGGTTTAATTGGTTTAAATTCTCTCACATTTCTCAAACTTCTCATTTTTGCTTATACTAATTTTCCTTATGCTCATTTTGTTTATCTTTTAAAATCTCTTTCCTCCAATTGACACCCCTTTTTCAGATCCATTAGAGATACAGGTGGCAGGAGGCTGTGAGCTGCACTCTTGGAAAGAGTCAACAGGTTTTCTGTGGGGAGCCTATCAAGGATTAGATTTCTTGAGCTTTCACAACAATTCATGGATACCATCTCCAGAGTGTGGAAGTAAGGCTGAGAATGTCTGTGCACTACTCAATCAGTACCAAGGCATTAAGGAAATAGTGCACGGGCTCATCAGTGACACTTGCCCACGTCTCACTTTGAGTCTGCTGGAAGCAGGGAAGGCGGATCTCCAGAGAAAAGGTCAGTCCTGCACCATATCTCAGAGAATTTTCTATTCCAAAATCATATCTTCCCACAATTTAGCTTAAGGATCAGAAAGAGAGGATAATGAGTGACCGATTCTCAGTGGTGAGAAAGAAAGACATATCTGTCTAAACTGATGTTGACATATTAGCCTCGGACTTTTGTGTGAGAGGTCTTACCTGAATATCTTTCCTGTTCTTTCTAGTGAAGCCCGAAGCCAGGCTGTCCAGTGGCACCACTCCTGGTCCTGGCCGTGTACTGCTGATTTGTCATGTTTTTGGCTTCTACCCGAAGCCTGTGTGGGTGATGTGGATGCGGGGGAATCAGGAGCAGCCTGGTACTCAGAGAGGTGGTGTTCTGCCCAATGCTGATGGGACCTGGTATCTTCGAGTATTCTTGAATGTGACAACCATGGAGGCATCTGACCTGTCTTGCCGGGTGAGGCACAGCAGTTTAGGTGACAAGGACATCATCCTCTATTGGGGTAAGAAAGAACTATGTAGTCTTCAAACAGAGTACAATAACAGATTAAAAGATTTGTTTTCTTAGGGATTCCAGACCCAAAAGGGATATCATAGTTAGTATAATGAACTTGTTGTTGTTACATGCTGTTGAGTTAGTTCCGACTCATAGTGACCCTGTATAGGGTTTCCAAGGAGCGGCTGGTGAGCTTGAACCTCCAACCTTGCAGTTCAAACCGACTTTGCATTCCAGCAAATTAGCCCACAGAGCTAGACCAGGATTCCACACCAGTACAAGAAATTATTGTTGTTGTTGTTTAGTGCTGTCAAGTTGCTTCTGACCCACAGCGACCCTGTATAGGGTTTCCAAAGAACAGTTGGTGAGCTTGAACCACCGACCTTGCAGTTCAAATGACTTTGTAGTCTGACACATTAGCCCACAGAGCCACACCAGGACTCCAGTACAAGGAATAGAAGAGTTGAAAATGAGGAGCCTGTAGATGCAAGAGTATGTTGAGGATTGCAGAAAGAATTATTCCTTTAATTTGGATGAGTGAAGAAGTAAGAAGAAAGGAGATGGTTGAGACAGACATTTAAACGAACAAAGGAAAACCAGGGAAAGTGGTTAAACAGGGATGGAACTGAAATGATATTTTTGTTTGTATGCAGAGCATCACAGCTCTTTGGGTGTGATCTTCTTGGCAGTGATAGTGCTCCTGGTACTTCTGACTGGCTTTATGTTGTGGTTCAGGACGCGCTGGTGAGTTCTTTGTATCCATCTGTCTTGTCCCTTCCCCAAGCTATTTCTCTATCCTCAGTTCTTCACTTCCCAGTCTCCTTCTCTCTTTTCTTGTAATTCTCACCTTCATCTATGCCGACTGACTTCCATCTCTGTTCTTACACAGTTCATATGAGAATCTACTGTGAGCCACCTCATTACTCTTCTTCCATTGGAAAAAGACCCTAACAGCCCAGGAATGCAGGACATACCTAAACATAGCATGGTGATGACAATTGTTTAACTTTCCTTATAAAACTTCAAATATGTTAGTTTATTTCTGCTTAATGATTGGTTATCAATATGAGCGAAACATAACTTTGTAGGATTTGTTGTTATGACCTGGATTCTTAAGCTTTATAATTTAAACTTTAAAGGAACAAAATGGGGTCCCAGAAATTTCCATAAATTCCAATATTAATCAACCATCAAGCCTAATTTTCAGATGTCATTTTTAGAGGCCTTCTCGAATTGACATGTGGGAAGCAAGCTCCCCAGTCTCAGAATTTCACTGCACTTTTAACTATATTATGTTAATTGTATTTCTAGTCCTTTGAGGCAGTTATATAAGCCCCGTTTTCCCTTCTCATTTTTAAACTTTTTGAGAGAAAAGTCTGTCTTCTTAATATATATTTCTCTACTTAATATTTGTTTTACCTGCATGTAATATAATCTCAATAAAAATCCATCTTGTATTTATGTCAAATTTGTAGTCTTATTTTATTCCTTTCTGGTAGTTTTTGTTAGAGTTGTGAACATTTGATGCTCAACTTGATAAAACTCTTCTCACTTGGCCAGAAGACTTCACACTTGCCTAGTTCCCTGGTTTCTTCTCTCAGTGTTTGAGAAGAAACACAATTTATTCTCTTATCATGTCATGCACGTTATTTCACTATCTAGAGTCACTAGAATGCATTTCTTATTCCAGTTGTTCCAAATAGAAAGAGCAAGACATCATGTAGGTCCTTGCTCTTCACTGTTGTTCAGGGTCAAACAACAGACTTGTCACATCAGAGCCTGATTTTCTTTTGTTGTTGTTAAGTGCTAGCAGCTCAACCAAGACCTTCTGTCTCTCAGCCTAGTGCTCATAGTGGGACTTCAAAAAGTTCATGGAAAAATTCCATAATCTTTTAATTTCTTTTTTCACAAACTTTTTGAAGCCCCCATCTTAATATGTTTTCCTAATTTACTTTAACTTGTACTTTATTTCAATTTATTGATGAATTAGATTTTTAAATTTTTTCTAAACTTTTAAATAAGACATAGAAAATTTATTTAAATGAAATATATATGACTGGTTGACTATATTATATGGAAAAGATTGAACACATTGGTGCATAAATACATTAAAAATATTAATATTTAAAATACGTTGTTCATTATTTTGTCTCAGTTCATGGTGTTCATTTAAAAAATCCTTTTCTTATTCACACATGAAAGGAAATTTAACTGACCAAGTCCATAGTAGCTGAAAGTTTGCAGGGAATTTCTCAGTTCTAGAAAGAAGGATTAAAAGAGAAACTGTAAGTATGGGGGTGGATAGTTCCAAAGAAAAACAAAAAAAGGGAAATTTCTTCTTAAAAGTGACCTGGCCACATTCACACACAAACATAGGCATCATTACTGGCAGGAGCAAGAGATAAGGGGAGATTTTAGCAAAATTGAAGGAATAACAATCTGTGTTATGTATGGAAAAATTAGTATTAGCCTTTCTTGATTTGAAATTTTTTTTTCTGTGACTTTAATTTGAGGCTATAAATATTCATTGGTGAATTTGATAATTCCTGTGGTATGGAGCTGTGGGAGAAAACACTGGACTTTAAGTTCGGTTTGAATCATAGGTCGGCAGTTCAAACTCACCAGTTGCCCCTTGGAAGCTTTACACAGGGTTGCTATGAGTTGGAACTGACTCTATGGCACTTAACAACAAAAACATAAATTCAGAAATAATTTAGCTATACAAAAAGACTTCAAAAACTTTGTGAAAACATGGAATTAAAGATAAAAATTTGAAAATATGAACTTTCTTTCTCACCATAAATTCCATCAAGGTTAAGACACTTTTATAAGTGATGTTGTTGTTGTTATGTGCCGTGGAGTAGGTTCCGACTCATAGCGACCCTGTACAAGGTTTCTGAGGCTGTAGATCTTTATGGAAGCAGAAAGTTTCATCTTTCTCCTGCGGAACAGCTGGTAGTTTTGAGCTGCTGACCTTGAGGTTGGCAGCCTGATTTGTAACCACTATGGTACAGTATTGACTTCTATTTCCTTTAACCCTTGCACTTCTACCTGTGTCTCCTAATACTTTCATCTTTCTTCTGCCAACCTCCCTCTTGTTTCATATTGCCTGCCCCATCCCCCATGTTAACACCTGTCTACCCTCTAGTTTGTGAATAATTCCCTCCTCACCACTCCTATCATCCAGTAACCATCATGGAATGTTTCATTTAGCAAGAAAATATTTTTACAGCAGCCTCATACAATATTTGTCCTTTAGTGATTGACTAATTCCACAAAGCACAATGTCCTCCAGGTTCATCCATGATGTGAGGTGTTTTGCAGATTCGATGTTATTCTTCAATGCTGTACAACATTCCATTGTGTGTATGTACCAAAGTTTGTTGAACCATTCTTCCATTGATGGACACTTGGGTTGTCTCCATCTTTGTGTTGTTGTGAATAGTGCTACAGTAAACATGGGTGTGCATTTATCTAGTTATGTTACAGCTCTTATTTCTTGTGGATGTATACCAAGTAGAAGGATTTCTGGGTCATATGGTATTTCTATTTCCAAAATCTTGAGAAAGCACAATACCATTTTCCATGGTGGTTGCACCATTTTACAGTTCCACCAGCAATGTAGGAAGGTCCCAATCTTTCCACATCCTTTCCAGCATTTGTTGTTTTCTGTTTTTTGGAACTTTTTATTAATGCTGGAGTGAGATAATATCTCATTGTTGCTTTGATTTGTACCTTTCTGGTGTGGTTCTGTGGGATAAAGCATTGGACCTCAAGGTCAGTTTGAACCACAAGGTAGGTGATACAAACTCACCAGCCACTCCCTGGAAACCCTATACAGGGACACTATGAGTTGGAATAGACTCGATGACACTTAACAACAACAACAACAACAATGGCTAATGGAGTCTTGATGTGACATTGTAGGATAAGTAATAGACCAAAAGGGTGGCATTTCAAACTCACCAGGTGCTCCTCAGAAACCCTATACAGGATTGACATGAGTTAGAACAAACTTGATAGCACTTAACAACAACAATAACAATAATGGCTAATGATGGTGCACATTTTTTTAACGTGTTTGTTGGCTGCTTGAATATTTTTTTGGTAAAGTGCTGTCATGGCCTCTGCCCATTTTTTAACTGGATTGTTTGTCATCTTTTTGAGGTGTTAAGTGTTCTATACATTTTGGAGAGTAGTCCTTTATCTGATATGACATTGCCAAACATTTTTTCCCAGGCTTTGTTTTCTCTTTTTACTCATTTGGTGAAATCATTTGATGCACAAAAAGTGGCTAATATTTAGGAGGTCCTAGTCATCCATTTTGTCTTCTGTTTGTGTGTTTTAGTTATATTTGATAGTGTATTTATGCCATATACCAGAGCTCCTGTTTGTCCCTATTGTTTCATTGATGATCTTTATAGTTCTAGGCTCTATATTTAGGTCTTTAATCCACATCAAATTCGTTTTTGTATATGATGTGAGATATGGGTCTTGTGTCATTTTTTTGCAAATGGATTTCCTATTTTTCCAGCACCATTTGTTGAAGAGACTATTTCTTTTTTTAAAAGTTTTATTATGAATTATGTGAGTTTACATGGGAGAACATCAGTTTTACATTCTTCCTATCGTATTTAGTTTCGTTGCAGTGACTACAATCCCTTCCATGCATAATCAAACAACCAAAGGATACACCCCCACAGGCCTGCTCCCCTGGCTGTCAGCACACAGGCCCTCTCCCTCCCTGAGTTCAGTGTCCCTAGCTGCTCCATCTGTCCACATCATTGTCTCTGTCTCCATCCCTGGCATCACTGCCTCTCTGGGTAGGGACCTGTTCTCAGCTCTTCTCACTTGATGGTCCCAGGGACCTCTGCTCCTGGGTTCTAAAATCAGTCACTCCCCTCCTTTTGTCAAACCAACTTGGCAGTCCAGCGCATTAACCCACAGCTCCACATCAGGACTCCATCTATGTATATGTATATTAAGTTGATTTCAACTCACAGATACCCAACTCCTAGAGATTTCTAAGATTGTATATCCCCTCCATGCATCATCAAACAACCAAAGGGTACACCACACAGGCCTGCCCACCGGTGTCAGAGCACAGCCCCTCTCCCTCCTTGAGTCCAATGTCCCTAGCTGCTCCATCTGTCTACATCATTGTCTCTGGACTTTTTTATGCTAAGGTAAAACCAAATTATTGACAATAACACTTAAGTTATCTGTATGTAAGATATTTTTTTTATCTCCATATTTTCTCAAACAGGGGAGAAAATGCAACCAAAATTTATAAGAAAAACATGTTAGAAACCAGAGTAAACTTCTGAGAAAATGGTAGTATGAAATATTCCATAATTTATCTTAGTGAGGTAAATTCAAAGTAAAAATGGAAACTTCATCTATATAGAAAAGAGCTATATCTTAAAAAGCTAGGAAGATCTTTATACTGTAACAAAGTTTGTATACAGTTTTAGGATACATTTCCACTATTTTTGAGTGTGTTGGAATGTGATATTTGCAATGTAGGAAAGTAAGTTCCATTTATGGGAGAATTAACAAAGGTAATCTGGGATATGAACCTTGAGAAACAGAAGACAACCATGAAAAATAAAATATTATAAAAATGGAGAATAAAATAATATAGGAATAATATTTTGGTGTAATCAATGCAAATGGCCGTTGGCTTTGGGAATTAGGGTATAAACACATGGTGTGTAGTGGTCTATAGGGTTTATTGTGACTGGTTTTTATACCTTCTGCAGCTTGTTCTTTATTGTTACAGCCTGGACAAGCAGTTGTAGGATTTTGTATCTGGTGTCCATTTGAAGGTTTTACCATGGTAAGTAAGTGGTTGCTTTTCAGGATGTCTTTGTCTAAGGTCAAGTGAGTGTTTTTATGCTGATGTGTGATTTAGGTGATTTTCTGAGGAAACAGACTCTGATCTGGAGATCTGTATGGAGAATTTTTACTGGGGAGTGTTCTCAAGAATAACTGTAAAAGGAAGAAGGAAGCAGCACAGGGCAGAGAGGAAAATTGAACACTGATGCATTTGTCACAAGGATTCAGGCAGTCTCCTAGGGAGCACTCCAAAGATTTCATAAAATGGGGTAATGAGACCAAATCTTTATACTCTCATATTTGATGTGGAATTTCCCCAGGAAGGGAATGTCCTTTTGTCAAGATAGCTCTGTTCTGCTGGGGACAGTTCCTGGAGAGGAACACAGTTATGAGTGGTTAGTAGCCAAGACTCCCTGAAACTGAGAAAATTGGAATATTTGCACTGAAGGTGGTATGTTTGTGACTGGACATAGTAACTAGTAGAACAAGGCAGTAACATTCATGTGTGGCTACATTTTCTTCCCTGCTTGAGAAAACGTACAGATAAAAAGGATATAATACACAGATGACCTGTGTGTATTCCTATCAAAGTATGACTGTACATAGGCTTTGTAAGTACAATGTCAAAAACCCAGTCCATAAAGCAAAGCAAACCTTAGAAAGTGTGCATGATCTTTGATATGTTGAGTCTATACTATTTATTTGTCTAACTAAAGGGTTTGCTTATTTTTGCTGATGCTCTGTTTAACCAAGCATTATATCCTTTCATAGTGATTGGTCTTTTCCTAAGATGTGGCCAAAGTAAAAATATGAACTATTGCCATTGCTGAATATATGATAAAGAAGTTGAAGAGATGCCATCAAGTGACTAGGAATTGAACTTGCGACAGTCTGCAATATTTCCTTTTTCAGAAGTATTGTTAAGAATATTCTTTAGAAAATTTGAATAAATGTATTGATATTGGAAGATATTACTAAAATTAAGGATTATAGAAAACAAACCAAATGTTTACTTTTAAAAAATATCCACTTCTAAATTGATGTGCTTAGAACTGCTTTTTAAAGACAGTTAAATAAAATTAATACTACAAGCAGAATTATATTAGAATTGTATTTGAATGCTCAAATTCCTTATAAGACTCAAAGGATTAAGAAATTCTCAAATAAAAATGAGGTGATAATATTAGGTCATAAGAAGATATCACTAATGCTAAACACATTACAATTTTTTTTTTTTACTTTGACTTCAAATTCTACAATATATAAAATGCAAGAAGTCTTCAATTTATATAGTAGTGTACAACATTATCAACTGGACTGCTAACCACAAGGCTGACAGTTCAAACCCACCAGATGTTCCTCAGAAACCCTATACAGGGTCATTATGAGTTAGTATTGACTGGATGGCACTTAACAAACGTATAATTGATCCAACATCAATAGGATACACATTCTTCTCAAGTGGATATGGAACATTCTATAGGATAGGCCATATGTTCAGCCACACACACAAAAAAGTGTCTGCATTCATTTAAAAAGATGGAAACCATATAAAATATCTTTTCTGAAAACAATGGAATATAACTAGAGATAAAAAACAAGAGGAAAACTAAAAAATTAATGAATATGTGTAATTTAACAACACACTCTTAACCATGGATTAAAGAAGAAAGATGAGGAATTGGCAAATACTTTTGAAGCAAATGAAAATAAAAATACAACACAATGAAACTTATGAACTTTAGCAAAGTCTCCAGAGGGAAATTTATGTAAATGACTACATTACCAACAAAGAAAGAACTCAAGTCAATAACCTAACTTTACTTCTTAAGGAATTAGAAAAAACAAAAGAAACCCAAAGTTAGCAGAAGAAGGAAATAATAAATATTAGAGTACAGATTAACAGAAAAACAGTAGAATCAATGAAACCAAAAGTTGTTTTTTTTTTAAATCAATAAAATTGATAAATCTTTAGGTAGACTAAGAAGAAAGAAAGAAGATTCAAATCACTAAAATGAAAAATAAAAATGAGTACATTGTTCTCCCACAAAATGACTGGTAGTTTCAAGCTGCTACCCTTGTAATTAGCAGCCCTATTCATAACCACTTCACTACCAGAGCTCCTATACAGGGTTGATAAGGACGGGTAACTTAGACATTGGGTACCTAAAATGCGGGGGTACCTAAAATGAGGGAAGGGCACTATAAATGCACAAATGACCGACTGACAAGTTTTCAAGAGGAAGTTTCATTTCAGAGTGTGTGGGGGAAGGTAGAATCCCCACTGAATAGTTTTCTTCTTGTCTTGATGGGTCTGGTGAAAGGAGATGGACAAAAAATTCTTTTGATTCAATATTGAGTAACAGTTACCATGATTAATTGCAATGGTCACAACTGTAAAAGTAGAACTTTTGTAACATAAAGAGGGGAGAAGTTAATCTTATATTCCAGGAACAGAGGACCATAGGACCATCAAGAGAGAAGTGCATAAGTGCAACATGGGACCCTAAGCAGAGAAGCAGCAACATCATGGAGGCAGAGATGAAAACATGGAGAGATAGAGCAGCTGAGGACTCCATACTCATGGAATGAGAAAGGTTGAGTGCAGGTGGCCAGGAGGCAGGCTTGCAGAATGTGCCCTTTGGTTGTTTAAATGATTATATATTTCTGAGTGTACATCAAAAAAACAACAACAAAAAAACCCCAGAGGAAATAGAAGCAAATACTAATAAAAGGGGATCTATGCATGTTCCTGGGACAGCCCCAGACATAGGCGGGAGGATTGCTTCTTAAAAGAGGCCTAACTACAAATATATAGTACCAGTTTTTATCCAAACGGAGGTGAAGCACTAGTAGAATTCTGTCAAATAGGAAGATATAATTATACCATAGCATGTACCCCAAAATCAAAATTGGTGCTAGATATTTTTTCCTTTAAAATTTAACTTCTGGATGATGATAATTTAAAGGAATCTCATTAAAGAATAAATATTGAAAATAATAAATGACTCAGGAAGCAAGTAAAAGATCCATACAATAAACGAAAAAGTCACCAAAAAGGAATATAAAAGTTTATATTATCAAAAGAGAAAATAAGTAAACCTTGTATCACAAATTGCACAATGAATCAAAGTCTATCTTTCTATGAAAAATATATGAAGGTAAACTCTAGAAGGAATGATAACATAGTATACAAATAAACAAGGGAGCACAGTGGCTTTGTATGGTAAGCATTGAACTGAAACCACAAGGTTGGCAGCTTGAGCCTGCTAACTGTTTGACCAGAGAAAGATGAGGCTTTCTACTCCAGTACATAAGTAGTCTCAGAAACGCTAAACAGGGCCGCCAGGAGTCGAACTGATTCGAAGGCACTTAATAACAAATAAACAATTAAAATGTGGATGATTATTGATGCGGTCTTTACTAAAAATTTATAATAAAAAAGACTATGTCAAACTTTTTGTCAGATGATTTTAAGTCAAAAAGAAAAGGAAAATTTTATTGAAAATAATAGATGACTAAAAAAAGGCCCAAAGGAAGAAAACCATCTAAAAGTATTCCAATTGCCACAAAAATTGAAACTAAAATCAGTTATAATTAACTGAAAAGGTCCTAGGCTTAGACTATAGGGATAGAAAATTCTTACAGAATGCATACTGTTTCAGGATATAGAAAAAGAGGTAAAACAATTGAATTCATTTTAGAAAACTAAAATTGTTACAGGAAATACAAACAAAACTCGACAACTCAAGGAGATGACTATAAGAAACAAAACATAAGTAAACAAATATACCTAACACTCAATTACAAATTAATTACAAACTGTAGGTGGTTTAACATTAAAATTAGGAACACAACAAGGATGCCTGATGCTGTCATTACTTTTTTTTTTTTTTTTTTAAGGTTTTTATTGTGGATTGAGTGAAAGTTTACAGGGCACATCATCAGTTTCACATTCAAACATTCATATACCTTGTTTCATTACATTGATTATAATCCCCTCCATATACCATCAGTTAACAGTGTTTCTCTCTATCCTCTTTAGCTTTTTTTTGGGGGGGGTGGGGAACTTTGCCTTTTTGGAATTTATAGTCTCGGCTTTTAGGGAAGGTTTTTACATTTATCTGTGGATATCCAGGGCTCATGTATGGAATTACTAACAAGCATAACTGAATAATCAGATGAGGGATAGTTTGCTATGTCTGCTAGGTGGCTATAATTTGATCCTCAGAGCCTACGGTTTGGACGGTCTGCAATGTTTGGACCCACAGGACCTTGAACTCCTAGCCGGGTCTGCACGGTCTGTAACAGATTCCCCCTTATTTATTATTTGTTTATGGGACGCTGCCTGTCTTAGGCGGTCAGTGCGAATTCCTCTGTCTTACCTGTCATTGAAACTCATTGCGAGGTTCCACGTGTTCCTTACCCGTCTCCGGCCACACGTCCAGTATAAACAACCGCCATCCAAAGAAGGCAGGGAGGAAGGAGACCGGCTGGGGATCCCACACGCAAGATGTTGCCAGACCACCACCTGCTCTAAGGAGACCAAGCAGGATCACTATGCTGAGGTTCAACCAAGTTCACAGGAGAACTTAATCTCTAGCAGAGGTAGCAAATTAGTAGCCACTCAGTTCTCAACTTGAGAATTACTTATATCAGAAATTTGAGCATGTAGCTGATGAATATCCACAGACAAGTGTATATTGTTCCACAACCTCCTAAAATGCTGTTGAATTAAGTTCCAATGCCATTACTTTTAAAAGTGGTATTGAAGTTTTTATCCCAAAGCTTGGTTTCAAAGCCCTGGAGTGACTACTGTAATAATACCTCACAGCAAACAGGCTGGTTTCATTGTTGTTTAAGTAACTTTTTGTTTCAAGCAATGTTTATAATAGTTCTTAACAATGCTAACTAGTACAGCATACAGGTGGTCTATATTTCTCTCATTCAAACACTTACACTGAGTCCTGGAGTGGCTGTGGACTAAAGTGCTGGACTGCAAGATTGGTTTGAACCACAAAGTCAGTTGTTCAAATTCAATAGCCACTCCTTGGAAACTTTATACAGGGTCTCTATAAGTCAACACCGACTCAATGGCATTTAACAACAACACTTACATGAAGTTACAAGGTGGTCCTCACCCCAGTAAACATAACAAAAGGAAGAATATGCTTCACGCTCCCAGATTTATCCAGATGGCCACACCTTTATCAGAAGGTATAACAGGGTACAGGCTCAGTCAAACCAGGCAACCATTGACATTCCAACCTAAAACAGCTAAAGCATGTAGCTAAGAACAAGAGCTGGTTCTGGGAGGGATGGTGGTGGTGGTGGTTATGTGCTGTAGAGTCGGTTCAGACTCATAGTGACCCTGTATAGGGTTTCATATATAAAACACTTTCAGTAATATACTTACACTTCTTGTTAGTTCCATCAAGTTGTTTCCAACTCATAATGACTCTAGATAGGGTATCTGAGGAGCAGCTGGTAAGTTTGAGCAGCTGACTTTGTGATTAGCAGCCTCATGCTTATCCTACAGCACACCACCAGGACTATGTGCTGGACTGCACGGTGGGTTTGAATCACCAGGCCAGGGGTTCAAGTTTACCAGCCATTCCTCAGACTTTACAGGGTCACTATGAGTCAGAACCAACTCGACGGAACTTAACAACAACAACAAGCAAAATGGCTATTTTTTAAAAATGGCTAGGCAAAATGCTACACTCATGATCTCAAAGTCATATTACCTAATCCAGTTAGTAAAAAAAAAAAAATCAAGTTTACTGTAGATGAAAGAAAATATTTTTCAAATGAAATTATTTTCTATGTAGAAAATTAATAGACATTAACTTAAAAAGAAAAGGATTTAGAAGTTTGGTTAAATAAAAAAATTAATATGGTAAAATAAATGCAATACTATATCCCCCAAATTCCTATTCAGCCTCTGTTGACCAAAATGATAATCAGGTCCAAAACATAACAAAACAAACAACAAAAACCCTTTATTGGCAGGAAAAAACACACCATTACACATATTTTGTTAATTTTATTCCTACAGGGTTTTCATTTTGATATTATCAAGAATGCATAAAATATTTCTCCATTTATTTAGATCTTTAATTTCTCTCAGCAATATTTTAGTTTTCAGTGTACATCTGTTATACATTTTAAACTTAATTTGTTCCTATGTATTTTATTTAATTAAGGCTTCTGTGAAAATACATTTTTTACTAATCTTATATCTGGATTATTTATTTTTAGTATATAGAAATATAGTTGATTGGGGTAAACTTAGTAATTCTACTTTGTACAAGGGAAGTCACCAGGGCTCAGAATTAACTCACAGGTAACTAACCACAATAAATCTTTCATTCTCCTCAGAATGTCTAATCTCAGAGTTTTTGTTTAGGTTTTTAAAACATGTAATTTCCGCCTCTTTATTGATAGTCTCTATTTGAGAGGTCATAGTGGTTGCACTCCTGGTGTGACACTGTAGGATAAGCACTGGATTAACCCTAAGGTCAATAGTTCAAATCCACCAGCTCTTCCTTGAAAACCTATACAGGGGCACTATGAGTCAGAACCAACTCAATGGCACTTAACAACAGAAGTGGGTTACTAGTTGGGCTGCTAATCGCAAAGTTGGCTGTTCAAATCTACTAGTCATTCTTCAGGAGAAAGATGTGACTTAGCTCCCATATAGATTTTCAACCTCAGAAATCCTATACAAGGTCTCTGTGGGTTGTAACTGATTCCATAGTACATAACCATCACCAACAGTTGTTGTCATAAAAAAAAAAAAAAAAAACAAAAACCACCCAGTTGTTGTAGAGTTGATTGTATCTCATGGTGACCGCAGAGTAGCACTTTGCTCCATAGAGTCTCCAGTGGGTGATATTTAGAGAGCAGGTTGCCAATCCTTTCTGTTAGCAGCCATGCTCATTAACCATCTGCACCATCCAGGAACACTGTTGTCACTCTCTCTAAATTCTCTGACATGGTTTGGTTTTTAAAAATTCTTTGAGCATACTTAGTAGGTTCTTTGAAGTTTGTTTATGGTTAGTCTAACATAAGCAATGCCAAAGGCAGTTCCTTTTGACGTCTTTCCCCCCCTGTATCCCCACATTTTCCTGTTGCTTTTCATGCTTTACATTTTTGTTGTTGAAAAAATGGACATTGCAGATCATAAATTGATTCATATCCCCCCAGGTATGTTGTTGTTGGCCCGTTTGTTTATCGATTTGCTTGGACTAATTTTGTGGAGTTTGACTCCCTCACAGTCTGTAGCTTCTGCTGTCTCTACTACTTTTTTTTTTTTTTTTTTACATTGTTTTTCTTTGTAGCTTGGTTTCTAAAGGATCACCCATGTGTCAGTATAGCTTAGTGGTCACTCTGTGATAGGTAAGAAGTTGTGCCTTAGAATCTGTAAGGTTTTCATTTTGTTGCCAATAAATCTTGGCTGGAACTGGGAAATACATTTAAAAATCAGGCAGTTTGCAAATTTGCACTGACATTTATCTTCACCTGCAGTTTTGTGTGTTAGCTCTGCATTCACACAAAACTTCACATGCAGCCAGGGGCAGGCAGAAAGGCAGGCTTCTCTCTGCTCTCCTTTAGGTCTGTTTTAATAGGTTGGCAGTCTGAACTTACCCAAAGGTGCTGTAGAAGAAATGACTGTTGTTGTTGTTGTCAGGTGCCATCGAGTTGGAACCGACTCACAGCGACCCCATGCACAGCAGAACGAAACAATGTCTGATCCTGGGCCAACCTCACTACCGCTGCCACACTTGATGCCATCAATGATGCCACCTGGCTGATCCATCTCATTGGGGGTCTTCCTCTTTTTCTCTGACCCTCCATCTTACCCAGCATGACATCCTTCTCCAGCGACTGTTCCTTCCTGACAATATGTCCAAAGTATGAGAGACGAAGCTTAGCCATCTTGGCCTCCAAGGAGCACTCTGGCTGCACTTCTTCCAAAACAGATCTATTGGTTCTTTTGGCAGCCCATGGCACTTTTAGTATTTTCCTCCAACACCACAATTCAAAGGCATCAATTCTTCTACGATCTTCCTTATTCACTGTCCAGCTTTCGCATCCATATGAGGTTATTGAAAATACCATGGCCTGGGTCAGGTGCACTTTAGTCCTAGAAAGGACCAGCAATCTTTTTCCCTAGAGATGACAGTCAGGAAAAGCCTATGGAGCAGTTTCACTCTGTACAGTACATGGGGCCCCATGAGTGGGAATTGATTCCATGGCAACAGATTTTTTTTTGGAAGAATCCCAAGTCCAAGTATATCTTTAGAAACAATAGCAACATCAATGCAAACTAACAGTAAAGGTCAACTTCCCAGGTGACTAAGATTGTAACTCTGGGTAGGGCAGGCAACAGACTTCCAGATGATCCTGAAACTTAAGAGGGAGATCTTCAAAATAACATAGAAATAATAGGCTTTGATGATTCCACATTATCAAAAGAAACCAGAAAGGCCTAGCTTTCTGCAAGAAAAAGCATATATGCCACATATCAACCGATTACCTATAACTGAAGCTTCAATCTTAACAAGACCCAAACTGAACTCTGCATCCAACCTATCTATCTGAAACTTGCACTCTCTACCTTTGTGAATGGCACCACTTTATTTGCTCCTGGTCACACTTCTTGGTTTGACTCATCCTGGTTACCTCCCTATTTAGTATCCCTGTTATTCTCTCCGTTCTTACTGCTTTTGTTCAGGCCCAGAAATTCATCTGCCTTCTTGGTCTCTTCATTCTCTGATGACATAGCTCTGGTGAATCCCATGGATATTTAGGGAATTTTGCTAAATGTCAAGTTAACCACACCACTCTCATTCTTAAAATCTTTCACTTGCCTGAAAAACAAAGGGCAATCCTCAACCTGGCACAAGTTAGCTTTCATAATCAGAACACAGAAGCATTGTCCTGTCTTGATTATTTCTTTTCTTTAGGCCCTAAGTGCCAACACACACTTACATAATATACATATACTATACATATACATATCTATACATACTACTTCAAAAGTCTAATCCTGGTGTGGGGTTGTAGAATAAGCACTGAGCTGCTAACCACAGGTTGGTGGTTCAAACTCCCCAGCTGCTTCTCAGGAATCCTAGACAGGGTTGTTACAGTCAGAACTGACTCTACAGCACACAGCAACAATAGACATAATACTTCACAGGTCTAATCTTGCACTTGTTTAAGACTACTTTTTTGGCAAGTCAAATGCCCTCTTCAAATACACAGCATCTTCTTCTTCTATTTGCTTAGATAAAATTTAAAATCAATATGCTAAATCTACTGGAAATTTTTGTAGAAATAAGAGTCTGACACTCAAAATAACCCCTGGCATTTTCATTCCAGTGATGCAATTGATTCTTTAGTATTTAGCAAGAAGAAAGGAGGTGGAAGTTGAGGGCCATTTCCTTAGTCCGTGTTCTGCTTTTTTCCCAAGTACAGAGTCTGTTTTTGTGCCTGAATCTTTCCTCAGATAAACATAAAATCGCTGTTAATAAAGAACTTTTTGGGTTGCCAACATAGGAGCAGTGGACTCCTGGTATGGTGCTGCAGGACCAGCACTGAACTGCAAACCACAAGATCGCAGTTCAAACCCACCAGGTACTCCTTGGAAACCCTACACAGAGTTGCTATGAGTTGGAAACAACAGCACTTAACCAACAGCAACAACATAGGGCCAAATACTCTTAAAGACTGAAACTCAGTAAAATTAGTAAAGCTCAGTAAAACCAGTGTTACTCATCAATTAACCAGTAAACCATTTCCATTGATTTAGTTTTGACTCTTGGAACCCCCCATGTGCATCAGAGTAGAACTGAACTCCACAAGATTTTTAAAGGCTGATCTATCAGAAATAGTTTGTCAGGTGTTTCATCCAGTGTCCCTTTAGGTGGACTTAACTTCCAACTGTTTAGTTAGCAGCAAGCATGTTAACTGTTTGCACTCCCCAGGGTCTCCTCTAATTAAATGCCCTCACATTTTGTAATATTGCACTCTTGTTTGCCTTATCTTTTTATGGTTTTTCTTGTGACTATAATTTGGGCTATGAATTTGAATCCACCTCATCTGATTTCTTCTTTTTTTTTTTTCCTGTTAACATTTTTATTTTTTCAAGGTAGCAGGACTTGTATACAAAAGACAGTAGACCCTTGCCTCTTTATTTTTGTCTAAATAAAAGATTACTCAAGATGAATTTTCAAGAATGAATGAAAGCTATGTACTTTGAACAATAAAGGTCTATATTATTCGTCATCGTCTACATGGGAACAGTAATTGTGCTGCTATCCTGGAATCCAGAAAGAGGTTGTGATAAGTTGGAAGAGCTACATATGCTGTTGTTATCATTTTACCAGCAAACCACCTGCCATGTAACGCATTGATGGCAGCAATAGCTGCAGCAATTGATGGGCACTTCACATACACATTGCCCTAAGCGGAATTTTTATCAACATAAATGTGAATAACTCCTCCGTGTTTATTACATTCGTCAATCACAACATCCTTAATCTCTGTATCCCATCCATCTCCTTCCTCTGAGGGTTAAACATGTTAGACAGTTGGAAACACTGTGTTGCAAGTGATTGAACAGAGACAGCAGCTGCTAAAGGTGACGTTTCAGTCTTCTGGGAAATTCTTGTTTTGTAAATCTGCCACAATACCAAAGGCCAAAGAGCCACTGATTTGTAGAGCCTGTTGAGCTGCT